TCTGTAGAATCCAGCCATTTATGGATCTACAGTTTGGAAATGACCTTAAATGAGTTTAGAATCTGACATACTTCTTTGAGCTATAGAAAACAAAATTTTATTAATTTTAAAACAAAATCATTGTTTAAGAATAAATCCTCTAATTGCCTATTTAAAATACCCACACATAAGGAACCATTTTTTAACTTCTTTGCTGTAAGTAAGCCTAATTTTATCACAGAGAACAGTTAGTTTTATAAGGAAAATACAAAACAAAACCAATGATTAATTAGTATCATTAAGTTCTCCTTATCTCAAGTACTTAAAAAAATGACATCTTATTAATAGAATAATTTTACCTTTAGAGTAAATGAATTATACTTTATAGGTAACAATGTCCATTTTTTAATTAAATAGCACTGTTTTTACTTAGAGAATTTAAGTACGTCTATAGCAACAAACAGCTGTAGGGCCTGAGGTGCAGGGTGACAGCAGGCTGCATAGGCTGGCTAGGCAGGGTATTTTAGGTCCATGCTGTCCGCAGTGCTGAGAGGTGGGGTTGGCTCCCAAGCTTGTCTCCCAGCTTGAATTGAAGCTCCCAGGCTGGTGTTGATATGCGGGGCCAGATACTTGGGGCTCAGGCCCGTGTCCCAGGTTCCTCTTTTAGGCAGCAGGCAAATGGTGGCCATAGGAATCACTTTTCAACTCCACTAATTTCTGTTTAAGATTAGGTAGCCAGAGCCCAGAGGTCATTACAGGAAATTCTAAAGTTAGCCTAACTTCACTCTAACTCCTAATTCACTTTGTACCAAGGGCAATCCACATCCTAAAGAACTATGTTTGGAGTGGGGAGGTTTCTACAAGTGAATTAAAAAGAAAAAACCCAACCAAACCAAAACAAAAAACAGACTGCAGAGCTAGGCAGAGCAAAAGCTAGGAATTTCAAACAGAAGTTCTACATCCATTAGAGCAGGAACTAGGAGATTATTCAGTGTCTCTCTTAACAGGACAATGATCCAAACTCAGAAAACCACCCCAGGGCCAAAAGAACCAAAATTAAGAGTTTCTTAGTAAATATTTTAACCTTAAAATCTGATTTCATTGTTCTCACTTTAGAGACAAGGCCTGAGGCTTGTCAGGTGGGACATGCTCTCTAACTTACCAGCAAGACCACCTTGGCTGAGGTCCACCATTGGTAGCTTGCTTCCTGGGCCATGTAGCTGCCTGGGCCTGGGAATTAGAAAGGGAGCAGAGAGAAGGGAGAAGGGGGAGAGAGAGGGAAGGTGCAGACACATGGAAGTTGCAGGAAAGAAGCAATGGCTACCAAGGATGATAACTTAAGGCCTTATGGGAGGTCCTGACTGCCCTCTCCACCTGGGCCAGATGGTGAACTTGTGCCCGTCAGCACTGGCCCCCTCTGTAATTCTGCCCTTCCTGGCTGCTTGCCTATCAGGATGTGACTAGGGTGACTTGCAGGTGCGCTAGGCCTCACATGCCTTGTGCCACATAGGAATGGCTAATAGAACGCATCTCAGCATCTCCCAGCAGCATGCTATAGGTGAGATGCTGATGCAGAAGGGGCACAGGGCCAGAAGAGGACAGGGAGGAATGGATTAGATGAAAACAAACCAATAAGCATAGCATTTTACCTTTTCAACTCCTGGCTGGTTCACCTTGGCTAGTCCAATGTTGATGGCAAAATGATGTTTTCAGAAAACCTTTGTTCTTGTGTTCCAGCATGGAAGAATCTAAGCAGAATGCATGGGTATAAATGGGATTTATTGAAAGTTAGGAAAGGAAATACAAAGCGGGTGCAGGTGGAGTCTGCTGGCAGAGAGAGACTATTTCTGCTTTTCAGGTGTTTTTAAAGCCTGTGATAACCTAGGGGAAGGAAAGAACCAGGTGATTCTCATAAAATGAGCAATGACTAGGAAGGAGCATGGGCAGTTCCCAGCCAGGTGAGGGTGTTTCTGAGCCAAAGCATGGTTAATCTAAGATGTAACATTTTTTTTTTTTATGAGTCCTGAACTTTCCCTACTTTAGTCTGTCTCACTTCAACTGGAAATGCATGCATCATGGAGTCATACAGCCTCTGCCCAAGCTGAGGCCTGTCAGGATGGGACTGAAACAATAATACTCTGATTTTTCAAGACCTATTCCTTTGAGTTCATTCAGAAGCCTGAAGGGCACTAGTTCTTTGGTAAATAAATTTCATAGAAGTCAGTTTCCTGGGAATAGGTAGGCTTATGGAGCAAACAAAACATATTGAATCTGAAAAGAGGGATAAAAGAATATTTGGCAGGTTTCAAGGGAGAAGAAGTAGAAAGATAAGAGAGTAAAAGTCCTCTTCTGCATTAGAAATGAAAGAGGGGCAGAAAAAAAAGATATTTGTTCTGGAATATGTAAGACAAGTGTTTGTGGATAGGTGGCCTCTAAAGGCTCTGGTCAAAAGACTTGTAGGCACTTATGTTCTCTGTGAAAAGAATACATACAAGACTCAGAAGTGTAGTTAAGTTTATTAAAAGTGGGGGGAAGTTACTGTAAAGAAAGCAGTGTTGGCCCCTGGCCAGGTGGGATAAAAGATGAGCTGGCCTTTGTTCAAGGGGCCTTTTATAAATTAAAAGGGCAAAGCGCGGGAATTATTTGGATGCCTTTTGTGGGATGGGGTAGGGTGATTGACTGGATTGATACATTTCATGCACTAAAGCTAGCTCTCAGGTATTTTAATTACATGTATGAGGTACAATTAAAATTTATGTTTTAAGCAAGGGGCTTTTACCTGACAGGTACTAGAGGGTATGAAAGAATTGCCTCAAGGCTTTCTGTCTTACAATCTTCAGAATTTACAACTGTATGGGATTTATGATTGAAAAGAATTTTACAACTGCAAAGGATAGCATTGCCTGAGATAAGGGGTTTAGCATGGAATATGCTAGGAAAAGCCATGCCTTATGGCCCCTGAAAGTCCCAGGGCTTCTTTTTTTTTCTTAACTAGTCTGCCTTAAATGTGTACTAAGCAGACTTTGGTGTTGTGGTTCCAAAATTATGTACAATGTTTAGGCATGGTCTCAAAGTCATCACTGCTGTCCTACTTTCCATCTTTCTTCCTGTGTTTTGGAGTCTACTACCACATGGGATTTCTATTTATTTCACATGACATGCAGGCATGCTTTGTCCTGGCACTATAAGTTTTAGGGGCTAGTTTGATCTCAGGCAGTTAGGGCTGGGGGCTATAAAGGAGCAATTAAAGTCAGCAAGTATGTTACTAGAAAAATAGTGCTGATAAGTACCTTGGTTCTTGTGTCCAGCTAAGAAGAATTCAAGTAAGTTGAAAATTTATTATGATAAAAAAATAAAGTTTATTAGGAAATACAGTCTGAATGTGGGTTGCCTCAAGGGAGAGAAGAACAGGTTAGGCTCTTAAAGGTTAGACTGTTTATTAAAGAAGCTTTAGCTTTGGGTTTATTTGTTCCCTGGGTTATCTCCTGGGTTTGGGGGTCATTGTCTTGTTAAATGAGAGAGAGAGAGAGAGAGAGAGAGAAAGAGAGAGAGACAGAGAGAGAGACAGAGAGATATCTAGCTGATGTTTAAGATGTAAATGACTCTTGAGTAAAGAGTGGATTAAGCAATACAAAATATTTAAAATTTAAAGACAAATGGTCCTCAGGGGGGAAGGGAAGAAAGCACACCAAGACCATATAAGGAAAAAATAGGGGGGCCCTATCAGAAAGTTGTATCCAGGGGCTTCCAAAGCATGTCAAAAACTAGATTAAAAACTTTTCTACACAGAGCTGTCATAGTTTAGTCTTTCTGGGCACCTCCTATGCCCCAGGAGTTTCTGCCTTTCTTCACCTTCTCTTGGGAACCACCCCTTCACCAAATTCTGAGGGACTTTACTCTTCCACTTTACACTTTTCTGCCTCAATAAACTCTTCCACTTTACTCACTCTCAATGTCTGTGAAGTTCAGTCTTTGGCTTCTTGAGACAAGAACCTGGAACTCCAACCCTCCCTCTGGCTAAATACCCAACCCAGCAAGGTTAAGTGGAGGCTCTTGGTTCTACACAAATCTCCCATACCAGAAGTATCATTACAAGAGCTAAGGCCTTATCTTAAGAATTTACATTCCAGTCCCTGAGACAGATGAATAATTTAAACTTCATGTGAAATGTACTACATTAGAGGATTAGTGAATTTTATATGTGAGCATGTCAAAAGAATTTGTGTTGGAGAGGGCCTGGCCCACATGGAGCTGTTTTTAGTCCTGACCAACATTTTACATTGAAACTTCTGGTTGATCCAAAGAAAATTGACACCATCCCTATTTTAACTGATTTTGGTTCTCTACCAAAAGGAGTTTGTGTAGAATAAATTGCAGCTAAGCTGAATATAAAAGGGATTGGAGAATAACAGACAGAGTGGAGGACTATTCCAGTTAGAGGAGTGACTGAAATCTGAGATCAAGCTTGAAGGTTCCAATCTGTTTGGGGATTGGTGAATAATTAGTAATGCCTCAGGTGTAGGTGAACTGGGTGGAAGGAGCATGAAGAAATTAAGTTCTAAGAATTGTTTCTGGCCAAATTTGTAACATTTCTTTTTATATCTGGCAATGGTAGGCACTGGAAAAATTTTAAACAGGTATATGAGAAGGTTGAGATTAGGATACTGATTACAGAAAATTATCTAATGAGATCTGTGTCACTTTGTGAATCATGTCAGTTGGAATAGGCAAGCATGTGCATATGTGTGTGTGTTTACAGAAAGTTGTTCTTACAAAGCCTCAGCACAGCAGTGTCAACGTGCTTGTATGGAAAAGGTTTTTTCATATAGGATGCACACAGAAATTTACGCTGAGGAAAGGAAGAAAACTGACTTTTTTGCAAACACAGAGATAAACATAGGTTAATTAGCCATTCATTAATATATTTATTGATTCAATATTCATTTAATTTTTGTGTGCTCCATGTGTGCCAACTTGTAATCAGAACTAAATGACTTATCAATTTGTATGTTGTTTTTTAGGAAAAAGAGTTTGTGCTGGAGAGGGCCTGGCCCGCATGGAGCTGTTTTTAGTCCTGACCAAGATTTTACAACATTTTACCTTAAAACCTCTGGTTGATCCAAAGAAAATTGACACCACCCCTATTTTAACTGGTTTTGGTTCTCTACCCCCCTTCTATGAGCTCTGTTTTATTCCAATCTGAAAAAATGGTAGGGTGTCAGACTGCTGAATGAAATTCTGCAGCCTCATCTGAGTAAGCAGGTATTCTCTGGTCAGAGTACTAGCCATTCGGCTTTCTCAGCAGCAGACATGCCATTCCTGATCTCTGCCTCTTCTCATTTTCCCCATCCTTTAAGATCCAATACAAATTTCCCTGACTGAAAGAAATCTCATTGCTTCATCTCTAATAAAATTTCTTTAGTAATACAATCCTGAGATCATAAGCTACATCTTCATCTGAAACATATACCAAATGGGAAGAACATTATATATTTTATATTGTCTAAGTAAAAATTGTCAATTAGAAATTATTCTGTGACTTTGTAAAAATATGTTTAAAATAAAATATGAAATTAACTCATCTTACTCCTATGTAACTCTTTAGATGAATAACGAATCTATTGACAGTTTATCATGCATATATTTTGTCTTTTCCCACTGGGTTATCAAAATATAATTGTGTGTGCATGTATATATGTTATGTACATTTTCATGTATACATGTATGCATACATAGGTGTATATTTGCATTTTTTTTGTAGGGAAAAACTAGGGGAGGTTATTATAGACGGAGGGTATAACACAAAGTTAAACTTGAATTGGTTAGTTTGTCCAGGGTAGCCTTCCTTTTCCCCTCCAGTGAATAAATACACCCACAGTTACACACATACACAGACATAGAAATGTAAAGGCAAAGAGAGATAAATATGTATATATGGCTATTCTCTAACACACATACAGAAACATGTGTATGTGTATAGGTGTACAAGGTAGCTATGATTTGCAGGTGACCTTTATGTAATAAAGACTGTAGCTATTTTTACAAGCAGTATAAGAAAAGTACCTCACCATGTTGTAGGATGGCTCAGACAGAGGGACAGGGTACCAAGGCTTTCGGGAAGCAAGTTTACTAACCAGGCTGGCAGCAACTCAGCAGACTTCAATCCAAAGGCTGAGCCCTGAAAACAAAGGGGGCTTCCTTTATATATCATTTAGAGCAGATAACAGAAATCGGGGGGAACAGCTTGTCCCATACATGGTCACATACTCTTTCATTGGCCATTTTAACCTCTGGGGCTAGGTGACCCTTCTCCAGTCTCACCCCAGGTGACATTCCTCAAATCTGTTTTTTTTTTTTTTCATTGTTGCCTTCAGCACTCATTATCTCTCATTATCTCCCTTCCTTCTCCCTGCCTTCCTGCCACATTCCCCCCTTTGATGCTTGAACCCACTTCTGGGTCAAAGAGCATCATCTTGATCTGGGGGTTGTAAACCTGTGTCTGACTAATAAGCTCCCCATTTCTGGTGAAGCTTCAGACCTCTAGCCACTGCTCCCGAGGGTGATAGATGGGGTTAAAATAGATATACTGACCATTATAAGAGCACACTGAGTAGGTGGTATGGTTGTGGGTGCATGACCCAACAACAGTGCCTGCACAAGAATAATAAGTATGGAAAACACTTCCCACTTGGATAGTGTACATACATGAGTCACAGTTCAAGGCCTGGGAGTCCCCAGGTAGAGAGCTGACCAAGATCAGCAAGAAGAAAACATGGAAGGGACTCATTCTCAAAGATGAGATAGGTGACTCCTCAAGCTCCCACCATACTAGACTAGTCAGCTTCTGGAGTGACTACAGCAGGGCTGATGTCTCATTGTTTGTGGTCTCCTGGGAAGCAGGAAGGGCGCAAGTGTTCTGGAGAGTGATTTTGCATGGTGAGGCTTGGTCAAGGGTATACTTCTACTTGAGGGAAGCTGGCTTCACAAGGCTGTGGTGGATCCAGAGAACTATCTCTATACCTTAACTGTGGTGGGGGTGCATAAAACAACAATGAAAGGGCCCCTCCAGTGGGGCTTTAGTGGTTAAACATTCCATTCCTTTAACCAAACAGTGTCTCCTGGTTTATAAGGGTGTGTAGGAGTTGTCAGGCTAATGGGGAGTCTCTCTCTTACCCAGTCATTGATTTTTGAGTGAACCCAAGGACCTGCATCTGGTGCCTCAGAGGGAAGTCACCTTATTTCCTTAAGGTCCCCTCACAGGCCCTTGACTAAAGGGGGTGGGTGCCCAAAAACAATTTTAAAAAGGGAGAGATCCGTCCACTTGGTGGGGCTAGACCTAATCCTGAGCAAGACTACGGGTATTAACTGATCCCATTGTAGGTGGGTTGCCTGGCATAGTTTTCCCAATTACAATTTTAGAGTCCTGTTCATATGTTTTACTTTCCTGAACTCTAGGGGCAGTAGACCATGTGCAGCTTCCAAGTTATTCATAAGGCCTTAGCCACCAACAGTACCACCTCAGCCATGAAGGCTGGTTCATTGCCTGATCCAATAGAAACAGATATTATGAACCGAGGGATGATTTCCTTTAACAGGCACCTGGCCACTTCCCAGGCTTCCTCAGTTCACTGGGAAGGCTTGTACCCATCCTAAGAAGGTACAGACAAGCACCAGCAAATATTTATATCCTCTGGCCCATGGCATCTTAGTAAAGTCCACAGTCAACTTTTCAAAAGCAGTTCCTCCAACACTCTGCACCTGGGGTGGCACTCTTGGCCCTTGTCAGAGACTGTTTTTGGCACACAGACTGCACCTCTCACATACTGTCTTACTTATGCTGGAGAGCTTGGGGACATAAAAATGCTGGGTCAAGGTGGTCTTGAGAACTGTTCACCCCAAGTGAGTCCCTTCCTGGAACTGCTTGATAAATGTGGGAGCCAGCAACTCTGGAAAAAGCCATCAGAAAATTTCCATCATCCACCTGGCAGAAAACTTCCTCCTTCAGTGTTAAGCCAAGACTGAACAGTCTTGTGACGTGTACTCTGGGTCCCACTCAGATAAAGGACATGGGGACAAGGCAGCTGTCAGTGAAGTTGAAGTTTGTCCTGCTGTGAGAGTGGCTCACTTGGCTTCCCTATCAGCTTTCTGTTTTCCCTGGAAAATTGTTGTTGCTCCCTTCCGGTGTCCTTGGCAGTGCATAACTGCCACCTGCTTAGGGACCCATACAGCTTCTAGCAATTCCAAGATTTCTTGTCCATACTTAACATTCTTTCCTCCCAAGTTAATTAGCCCTCTTTCTTTATATAAGGATTCATGGACATGAATAGTGGTAAAAGCATACTTGGAGTTCATATAGATGTTTACCTGTACTCCTGCAGCAAGCTGGAGCACCTGTGTGAGAGCAATGAGCTTGGCTTTTTTGAGCAGATGTCCTGACTGGCAGCAGATGTGCTTCAGTGACAGCATCCAGAGTCACTACTGCATATTTGGCAAAATGGGTGCTGATCCAGATAAACTGCTGCCATCTGTGGAATACTTAATGTCCAGATTACTGACAGGCTGATCAGTCAAGTCCAGCTCTTTGGAGAATACCTCATCTATAACCTTTAAAACAGTCATGATCTGGGGGCCCTGAACCAACCTGCAATAGGGTGGTTGGATTTAGAGTTTTTTTAAAAATTTTATTCATATGTGCATACACTGTTTGGGTCATTTCTCCCCCCTTCCCCCTGCCCCTCTTTCCCCCACCCCCCCTTTTCCCCTACAACCCTCCCACTTCCCCCCACCCTCTCGCTACCAGGCAGAAACTATTTTTCCCTTATCTCTAATTTTGTTGAAGAGAGAGTATAAGCAATAATAGGAAGGACCAAGGGTTTTTGCTAGTTGAGATAAGGATAGCTATATAGGGAGTTTACTTGCATTGCTTTCCTGTACATATGTGTTACATTCTAAATTAATTCTTCTCAAACTAATCTTTTCTCTAGTTCCTGGTCCCCTTCTCCTATTGGCCTCTGTTGCTTTAAAGTTTCTGCATTAGTTTCTCTGCATTGAGGGCAGCAAAAGCTATCTAGTTTTTTGGGTGTCTTACCTATCCTCATACCTCCCTTGTGTGCTCTTGCTTTATTGTGTGATCAAAGTCCAATCCCCTTGTTGTGTTTGTCCTTGATCTAATGTCTGCATATGAGGGAGAACATATGAGTTTTGGTCTTTTGGGCCAGGCTAGCCTTGCTCAGAATGATGTTTTCCAGTTCCACCCATTTACCTGCGGATGATAAGATTTATTCTTCTTCATGGCTGCATAAAATTCCATTGTGTATAAATACCACATTTTCTTAATCTATTCGTCAGTAGTGGGGCATGTTGGCTGTTTCCATAACTCGGCTATGGTGAATAGTGCTGCAATAAACATGGGTGTGCAGGTGCCTCTGGAGTAACCTGTGTCACAGTCTTTTGGGTATATCCCCAAGAGTGGTATTGCTGGATCAAATGGTAGATCAGTGTTTAGCTTTTTAAGTAGCCTCCAAATTTTTTTCCAGAGTGGTTGTACTAGTTTGCATTCCCAGCAACAGTGTAAAAGGGTTCCTTTTTCCCTCATCCTCACCAACACCTGTTGTCAGTGGTGTTGCTAATCATGGCTATTCTAACAGGGGTGAGGTGGAATCTTAGTGTGGTTTTAATTTGCATTTCCTTTATTGCTAGAGATGGTGAACATTTTTTCATGTGTTTTTTTGGCCATTTGAATTTCTTCTTTAGAGAAAGTTCTGTTTAGTTCACTTGCCCATTTCTTTATTGGTTCATTAATTTTGGGTGAATTTAGTTTTTTGAGTTCCCTATATATTCTGGTTATCAGTCCTTTGTCTGATGAGTAGCTGGCAAATATTTTCTCCCACTCTGTGGTGTTCTCTTCAGTTTAGAGACCATTTCTTCCAGGCAGAATCTGTTTTGCCCGTATCTCTAATTTTGTTGGAAAGAAAACAAATAGTTTCACTTATAACATAAAATTAAACACACCATATTTAATGCACGGTTTGCCACTGTTTCTAAAAATAAAATCCAAATGCTATAGTGCATATACTGTAGCCATTCTAGGAGACCATTATAAAGAAATAGTGCAAGAAAAAAAAAGTATATGTACAGACCAATATTTTTATTTGAAGAGTACAAAATAATCTACATATCATTGTATAGGGAAATTGACTTAAA